ATATCTCTTTTCTCTATATCTATATATCTCTCTCTATATATATATATATATATATATATATATATATATATATATATATATATATATATATATATATATATATATATATTTTAAAGGGGTATTTGTATATATAAAGAGAGATATGCAACTAGATAGAATAGGCAGATATAGATTGATCTCTGCAGCAGCTGCCGAAGAGCTGTGCACTGCAGACGCAGCTGGTGTGAAAGGCAAATGCCTGCGTGCTGCTTCTGCTCACCATAAGCGCAGCGCACGCGCTGCTCACGCACTGCTTTCGCTTGCGGTGTGAAACTGGTGTAAAAATCAACAGATCACATTTGATGTACAGTATTGTTTCTTTCTTGATAATAACTGAGAGAATCACTTATTAGATAATGATTTCTGATCACTTTTACACATTTACTTCCTAAACAAATGCTCTGCTCACGCTCTCAGGAAATAACCTTGTATATCTTTAGTCCTTAAATAGTCAGATATTATAAGACCTCACAAATGTTCGCAGCTCTGTTTAATTAGCTCTATCATTAACTCAAGAGACCTACAACTAAACAAACAAAAACAGTTTTTATTCAATTTGCCTTAAAGTAAAACATTAATGTAATGTGACCACAAGCAGTATTTTAAACGAAAAAAGTCTGATGTTTAAAATTTTATGACGTTAAAATAGAATGCATTGGCGACGGGTGGCGCAGTAGTTAGTGCTGTCGCCTCACAGCAAGAAGGTCGCTGGTTCGAGCCTCGGCTGGGTAAGTTGGCGTTTCTGTGTGGAGTTTGCATGTTCATCCCGCATTCGTGAGGGTTTCCTCCGGGTGCTCTGGTTTCCCCCACAGTCCAAAGACATGCGCTACAGGTAAAATGAAAAGACAATGAATGAATGAATGAATGAATGAATGAATGAATGAAAATGGAATACAACTCCCATCGATTTTGAGGCCCACCTAAATGTGACATAGAAGTGCTGTTTTCCTCGCTCACCAATTTGATTGACAGCCATGTATTAACATGTCTCCATAGTAATGCGTACACTCTCAGAAAAAAAGGTACAAAATTGTACCTTTTAGGGTACAAATGGCCCGTCACTGGGGTGGTACCCTAAAGGGTACAATTTTGTACCTCTGTTTAGAGGTACAAATAGTACCTTCTACATTTGTACCATTTAAGGGACAATTTTGTACCCCCAAGGAAGGTACGAAAATGTACCTTATTATATTATATAGCATTTTTAGGGTACTGACCCAGGAATTTTGATCCTTTGGTGAGTGCATGCACAAATAAATAAAATATTTTGGTTCGCAGATGTCCATTTTTATTTAGAAATGTATTAATATTTTATCACAATTCACAACTGAATGTGTCAAGTAATAAAATTACACAGCAAGTATAAAGCAGACATGTAAAACAGTAAAAAGAACAATTTAGACAACAAATAAAAATTGTTCACTCACTCTACAGTAAATAATCTACACTTAATACAAAGACCACAGGAATACTGTTTAAGATTTATAAACACATTACACAGGCTACATCAAGTACTGCACTTTATAAAGTCCAAAGTGTTTGTCTTTAGTCAGAATACTCAGTCATAATAAATAATTTGTCATCAACATTTTCTCTGTATTTCAGAATGAAGGCAATGTTTCTTTATAAATTGCTTTAACAGTGCAGAAAACCAAAAACATCAGTAGTGTCTTCCTCAACATCAGTAGATTCCTTCTCAACTTCCTCAAGAAGAGTTGTAATTTGTTGTAACACAATACGTTTATGCTTTTGGTAAACATGACATGTAAGGCACTCATAACTGGAAAAAATTATTTGATAGTCATTAGGACCACAAGTTATTAAAAAAAAATTGCTTTATGCATGAATAACAGCAGTGTGCTGGATTAACTTGATGATTGTGATTATTATCCAAGAGCATTTAGAAAATAAAAAAAACAAGGTTGATTTCTCTGGTAACTGTAGTAGGTCGAGGCTTGTCATCGTTCACAGTTCATTAAAAACATTCCACTGCAGAAACATCAAGTTGTTTTTTAAATGAGATGGATATGTCAAAAATGTATATTCATTCACACCATAAACCCGGCGAATCACAATCCCATCAACTCAGAAGACTGCCGTGACTCGTCATGTTGTCCAGTCGGTGGTGTCCTCCTGTACTTGAACTGTTGGATGTGATGAAGATGATTCACTGTAAATAACAAAGCAATAATTTCATTAATATCATTGATGAAGAGAAAATCAACATGCATAGAATGTGAAATAATTAATATTCAATGATTTAAAAAAGTATAACAGATTAAAGGACTAATATAACATTCATTCATTCAGTGAAATGAGCCGCCAAGTTATCCAGCATTTTACGCAGCAGATGCCCTTCCAGCCGCAACCCAGTAATACAAACATTCATACAAACTCATTCAAACACACATTTATACACTACTGACAAATTAGCTTACCCAATTCCCCTATAGCACATGTCTTTGGTCTTGTGGGGAAACTGGAGCACTTAGAGGAAACCCACACGAACACGGGAAGAACATGCAAACTCCTCACAGAAATGCAAACTGATCCCACCCGAGGCTCGAACCAGCGACCTTCTTGCTGTAAGGTGACAGCACTACCCACTTTGCCATCCTAACATAAAGAATATCAAGAATTATAAAATGCATTAACACAGCATATACTAAACAGAAAACAACTTACGCACCTGAGCACAACGAAATGTTGAAGTGTCTCGCTTAACAAGGCTGGCAACATGATAAGTGCTGCTGTAAAATCATTTCCTGGAACATAAGATGTAGCATACAAACAAATATGAAGCAATCCATACAAAGCTAGAATTTAATAATATTAATCAAGTAGAGAAAATTTAGAAAGAGTACCTTAGAGTCAGGTCCTCAGCATTCTTCAGTTGATCTCTCATCTTTCGATGAAAACCTAGAAAATCATTTTAAACATATGTGTACATATGTGTTGTTTGTAAGTAAAAACCTACAAATTTAAAATAGTATGTAAGCCATTAAAACCATGGTATATAGATAATGAGAAATACTTGCTTCGTGTACTGAGCCATGCTTTCATATGACATGCCTTCACTGGTCTGATACTGTCAGGCTGCATTCTGTTGTTCCAACTGTCCTGAAGATCAAATGGAAACTTCAAAAACTTCTGGAAAGCAATAAGAGAAAATAATAACTATTTGTTTATTTTTAGATAATTATAAAATAGTTAAAATACTGTAAGGTACAGT